GTGTGTGTGTGTGTGTGTGTGTGTGTGTGTGTGTGTCAGTGAGCGGATCAGCATGCGTCAGTCTCAGGTGGACAAACTTTATGCTGGCCTGAAGGACCTGTCTGAAGAGAGGCGGGGCAAATTGGATGAGAGGCTCCGCCTCTTCCAGTTGAACCGGGAGGTTGACGACCTGGAGCAGTGGATTGCTGAGCGGGAGGTGGTGGCCGGGTCACATGAGCTGGGACAAGACTACGAACACGTAACTGTACGTTTTCACTAGTACTAATACCAACCTGGTACCAGGTCATGTGTTCAAGAGCTAATGGCGCCGTTTGGGTCGATTTCTACGACGGATAAAAAAAGCTGCAGAAGTATTTATACGTTTACCTCCTCTGTTTTTGATCTGACCTTTGACCTCTTTCATCTGTGCTCAGATGTTGCAGGAACGTTTCCGGGAATTTGCCCGAGACACCGGAAACATCGGTCAGGAGCGCGTGGATGCTGTTAACCGTCTGGCGGACGAGCTGATCAACGCCGGGCATGGTGACGCTGCGACTGTGGCGGAGTGGAAGGACGGGCTTAACGAGGCCTGGGCCGACCTGCTGGAGCTCATCGATACCAGGACGCAGATCCTCGCCGCCTCCTTCGAGCTCCACAAGTTTTACCACGATGCAAAGGAGATCCTGGGACGCATCCTGGACAAGCAGAAGAAGCTGCCGGAGGAGGTTGGACGAGACCAGAACACAGTGGAGACGCTGCAGAGGATGCACACCACCTTCGAACATGACATCCAGGCGCTGGGAACACAGGTGAATCTCACATGCTTCCTCGGGGGCCTTCAGATGAATCTCATTAGAAACCGACATCAGTTAAACCGGATTTCTGCAGTAAACCACGTGATTACATGTGGAGCGTCACTGACTGGTATTATTGAACGTTACATTTGAATTAATGACACAAACATTGTTTTAATGACGGAAGTCGTTAAATTGTGTTTCACTTTGTATGAATGTGTAGATCAGTCAGACATAGCAATGGAATTAGCTTCCTCGCTAATTCAAATATATATATATAAACAGACAACGCAGCTTCTCATGAGAATTGTTTCAAATACACGTCCCTGACATCATGTGACCCAGACATCATGTGACCCAGACATTTGACCTTGTGTGGCAGGTGAGGCAGCTGCAGGACGATGCGGTCCGCCTTCAGTCGGCATATGCGGGCGACAAAGCTGACGACATCCAGCGGAGGGAGTGCGAGGTGCTGGAGGCCTGGAGGAGTCTGCTGGAGGCGTGCGACGGACGCAGGCTCCGTCTCCTCGACACCGGGGATAAGTTCAGGTTTTTCAGCATGGTCCGAGACCTGATGCTGTGGATGGACGACGTGATCCGACTCATCGAGGCCCAGGAGAAACCCAGGTACTGTTCGCCTCACACTGACAACATGTCGTCGAGCAGAGCGGCGGGAAGTGACGCTGCTGCGTTCCTGTGTTTTTAGAGACGTGTCGTCAGTGGAGCTGCTGATGAACAACCATCAGGGCATCAAAGCTGAGATTGATGCCCGAAACGACAGCTTCACCGCCTGCATCGAGCTGGGGAAAGCCCTGCTCGCCCGAAAACACTACGCCTCGGACGAGGTGAGGACGAGGGAGTAACTTCAAACTTTTAACTTTAACGTTAAATATTCTGTGAGAAAGACACGAAACAAAGTTTCAATGTTTGATATAAGAAATAAAAAGATATAATTTTACAAATGTATTTTGAAAATATTGGAAATTTGGAGAAGTCATAACTACAGTAATTTCCTGTTACATCACAGTGACACGTTTCAATGTTGTTCAGATCAAAGAGAAGCTGCTGCAGCTGACGGACAAGAGGAAGGAGATGATTGACAAGTGGGAAGATCGATGGGAGTGGCTACGACTCAGTAAGACATGATGAGTTTTCAATTAACGTTTTACTTTGTTCAGGAGGTCGTGACCTTCAGGAGGTCGTGACCTTCAGGAGGTCGTGACCTTCAG